CCAGTCTCTAATATTATCTGTGACTATGATTCTGCCTCAATGCTGACTTGCAGGATGAGGCAAACTTTCGTTTGAGTTATGTATATCAAAATTATATGCAACTTCAGTCCATTCTGCAACATTCATGGATATTTTCCATCTTCTCTTTTTAGAAAAAAAAATAATGGAAAATTATGATGTAATGCTTTTATCCAATGAGTGGTATTAATACTTTGACTTCCACTGTTTGTATCATACTCTAAACTGTAATGTGGAGTAAAGATGAGTTGTTCCTCCAGTGTCTTGAATCGGTATACTATATAGCTTCTAGCTTTTAGAAAACATCTTGAAATAATGGTGCAGCAAAAATCAATTCTACAAGTGTTCTTTTATATGGTGGGAATACAGTTGAGGCATAAGAGATGTCATTAATTTGATCTGTATCAGGAGTTACTCCACTGAAATACAACATCTGTGGAATGGAATAGCTCCCCCAGAAGCCATAATGCAATAATTCCATATTTGTAAATAGTTAGACTTATCAGAAATGTTTTATCTTAGTGATACTTGAAAAGTGTTGGTTTTCTTTCAAATTTACTCTGAAGATTTGTAGTTCTGCCAAAGATTAACTGGAGGATGCCTTTACCAATGGCTTGAAAGTCAAGCAGCTAATGTCAATTTTAAATAATTTTATTAGAAGTGTTTCCTTTTATTGGTTGTTTTTAGCAGTTATTTATTTTATCAGGTTTTTTTTTCCTCATTGAAATGTCAAAAATTTTCAAGCATTCATTCTGCTTTCAGAATGACCTCTGTGGCAGCTGATGTTCATAACAGCCAAACCAAACCTTGTGTCACATAAAGTGACATCGAGCCTTTAATGCAGTCACACCAGGAACCTCCAGCCCAGAATTTATCATTTAAAAACAGCTGCTGAAATTCAGGTATTTTGTCTTGTATACATTCATTACTATGTAATTTCTTTACTATTAGTAAAGAAACGACACAGATTCTAATTATTTGTCTTGCAATCATAATAAAATAGTTCCAAAATCAGGCTTTTACTAAGTAATAGTTGTTTTAATGGAAAGTGTTATTCCATAAAGGCTCTTCTTCCAGCCAGCTACCTCCTGCCTGAGACAGGGCTGTGCCTTACGCAGGGGAGCCGGGCTGGAGGGAGGGAGGAACGCTGTGCAGATAAGGCCTGTGTGTTCCTCCATCAGCAAATCGCTGGCAGTTTGGCTGTACTGAAAACAGAGTTAGCAGTTAAGAAGACAGTCCCCATTTTCATGTGTTTCTAATTTGCTTTAAGAATTCGTTTGCGTGCACACGTGTGCGTGCTTTTCTGCAGTCCTGGCTGAAGGGTGAATTTTGGAGCAAAGCCTGAGGAAAAACCTTTGGGTCTTTTTTTTTAAAAAAAAAAATTAAAAGCATACTTTTTATGTTTTATGTAATTTGTTAAATCATTTGTTTGCAAATATTATTATAGAATACCACAATTAAAGACAAAATACCCCTTGATACATGACACTACAGGTTTTAGGCAAGGGAATGCTGTACAGAATGCACACAGAAAACAAAGCCGAGCATTCCAAGCACGGGTCCCAGCTCTGTACTGCTTTTTCTCCCTGATGTTAGCAGAATAGCCCAAGTCAGCTCACACAGCTTTAGATCCTCCCCTGCATAAAGTGAATAAGACTTAGCATTTCACAGGGATGTTTGGAATTTAACAATTACGCGTCACTTTGAAGTTTAACTAATTTTTTTAACCCAAACTGGGGCTGTGTGCTGCTTGGCACTGCTGGGATCCACACACATGGTGACCTGCAGCAGTGTGCTGTCCTGCATCTGCTAGAGCAGGGCACAGCACGACCAAGAGCAGCCTCTTCTCACAGAGACTGGTAGGCTCTGACATACAAGAGAAAAAGGCAAACTGATGCATTCTTTACACCACTTTTTGATTGGCTGAGAAAATTAAGAAGGAACTATGCTCCACAATCCCAGTCCAGTGCAGGAAAAAAACGTTACTTCAGCACAGCATTGAGGTCAGGCAGGTGAACGTTCCCTCCTGCAAAGCTGGATCCGCCTACAGCACCTTGAGGGCTGCGCATTCAGATGGAACGTAAAGAAGATGGTGTGCCTCAGCTGCACACAGCTTCTTTGGGATCTGTGTGCGACTTCAAACTTGTCCTCAAAGAAAGAAATCACATTAAAAGTTAAGTAGTAACATATATTTGTTAGGAATATCTAAGCACATCATTTCTTCATACTTCAGTTCTTCTTGATCCACGGTGCGTTACGAGGGTGCAGCTTCAGAACTGTTGTTCACACAGGGACATGTGAGAAGGGATAGCCCCAGAGCCATGGTGGTACCTCCTTCCCTGTAGCACACAGAGAAGCATCTGGGTGTTTGGTACAGAGCATCTGTACTGCTCTATCTGCCTCATGATTCTCATAGTTAGGTGGGTTTTTGTTACCAACAATAAATCATGTTGTGATGTTGGGTGTACATGGAACAGGCTGGGAGCTGGAGCTCCGAAAGAGATCCCAAAGGCAACACTGCTGGAGTGTGCTATGGACCCCACTGCTGTGTGCTCAGGTCACAGGCATGCCTTAATCCTTTGCTGAGTCATGGATGTGGTGACTTCTCCAAATTTTCCTCTCTGCAAAATGTATCACTTTCCTCTCAGTGCAGTACACCTTTTACTGGTGGAGTTTTGCAAGCTGAGAAAAAAATGTGAACACATTGTGAAGGAAAAAATATATAGATGTCTTTTTCCACTGGAATAATGTGATGATAACTTTCCTGCACTTTTAAAAACAACTGGAAAAGCAGAGAGAAACTGGAAAAAGCTCCCATGGAAAGGTTCCTGCTGCCTGTGTGTTCAGGGGATAATTCATTGCCACTGCTGTAGTGCTGAAAATACATTGCATGATCAGTTCTAAAGGGCAACTGTGCCTCCAACACTGAGAATACATAAAGTATCCGTAGGGGTCAATATTCTGTACACTAAAAGAATATATGAAAAATATATAGATCATACAGAACACGAAGTGGAAACCATCATCCATCTGAGCCTTTTGCAGTTTGCTGTTACAGCATCTCTTTTGGTAGTACTGTGCACAGCCAATGCAATCCAAGCTGCACTGGTGGCGAGGGGAAGACTGTGGGTTTTTTCAATGGCCAGGTTTCAGCTAACATGTGCTGTCTTTCAGTAGAGGCCGATTAACGTTAACAATGAATCATAGAATGGCTTGGTATGAAAGGGACCTCCAAGCACATCCTCCAAGCACAACCCTCTCCCATGGGCTGGTGCCCCCCACCAGATGAGGGTCCGTAGCCTCATCCAACCTGGCCCTGAGAGCATCCAGGGATGGGGAACCCACAGTTCTGGGCAGCAGTGCCAGGGCCTCAGCTCCCTCCGAGTACAGAATTTCCTCCTAACACCTAACCTAAATCTCCCCTCTTTTAGTTTAAAGCCACCCCCCCTTGTCCAATCAGGCCATTAATTAACAGATTTAGCTCAGATTAGCCGTCTCTCACCTCCTGAGCAATGCCTGATTTGGATGCTGTGCTGCTAAAAGCACCGCGGTGTTCTGTCTCAGTGTTTTATCTCCTTTTTACAATCACCAGTGCCCACAGGACGATGAGGGAATGAAACTGAATAGCACACCTACAGCCAGGCAGCAAATACAAGCGATGCTGTGCCTGGCATACCTTGTTAGGAAAAACAATGCAAGTAGGTAACTTCTGCAGGCTTCCAGTGCATCATTTGATCGACTTTTGGTCACATTTCTGTAAGTGTTGTATTATCCTCTCAGGGCAGTGACACCTCTGAGGTAACGTGCAGCACACAGCGGCACTTCGGCTTTGGCCTTCGGGTTTGCTCTTCCCTTCGGGAGCAGCGTGGGGCTGCCGGCAGGGTGCGGGGCGCGTGAGCTGCGGGCTGCACGGCGCCGTGCCGGGACACGGAATGCACACAGCTTGGCTACGGGGATCGGTGCCCGCAGTGTATAAGCGGACAAAGTAAAACTTCGTTGTCTGTGAAAAACTTTTGCCTCTTAAAAAAAAAGAAAGTGAGAATGCTTCCTCCAGAACCAAACTTTATGCGACTTTTCACACCGCAAGGAACAGACCACGCGTGCAGACCGGAGCTCACCGCGCCGCGTTGCTCCTCGGTGCGGATGGCGGCCGCGCAGCCCCCGCCTCTCCCACCCGCACGGCACGGCAAGGGGGCTGCGCCCGCTCCCGAAGCGGCCCTGAATGCAGCCCTTGTTCGCACCGCTCGCGCCGCTCACCGGGCAGCGGCATCGTGCCGGAGAGGTGGAAAAGCAAAAAGCAACAGAGCGCCGCGAGCGCTACTGCCGCCGCCGCCGGGCGGGGGCTGCGGGGGGCGAGGGGCGCGCGCCGCATTCCGATGCGGTGAGGCACGCGGCCCCCGCCCCAAGGCCGAGAGGCGATGGCGCTGCGCCGCTCCCACCCGCGCGGGCGCACGGCCGGAGCCGTTACTCAGCGGTCCGCGAGCGGCGGGCGCCGAGGCGAGAGGTAGGGCCGTGACCGGCGGGGCGCGGGGGCAGCGTCCCGGCCGCAAAGATGCGCTCTGCGCGGTGCTCCTGCTGCGCGGTGCCCGCAGGAGGCGCGAGGCTGCCCCGGGCGGGAGGAGCCGATGCGCGGACGCCGCTCGCGCTCCGTCGCGGCGGGAAGCGCGGGGCACCGCCGGGCTCAGCGTGCCGCGAGGAGGTCCCGGCCGAACCTCCCCCCGGTGATCTCTCCAGGCGGCCGAGTCAGCCGCCCGCGCGCCTTCCTCCTCGCTCCGTCCCTCCTCCGCCGACCCGGCGGGGCGGTCCGCGCCCTCAGCCCCCGCCCCCGTCCCGCCGCGGTAGGCGCTCGGCTCGCTCCGCCGCCCTGGGCAGCGGCGGGGGCGGCCCCGTCCGGCAGAGAGCCGCGCCGCAGAGCCCCGCTGGAGTCCCCGGCGGTCCCGGGAGGAAGAGGATGCCGGGGCTGCGCTGAGAGGTGCGTGCCCTGCCCGCCCCGCGCTGCCCTCGCGGCTGCCGCTCCGCTTTCGGCCATGTTCCCGGCCCCGCTATCGCGCCGCTCCGGGATCCCCTCCTCCGCCGGGGGGGCTCGAGGGAACCCCAAACGGCAGCAGCCTGGGACGGGCTGCCCTCGTCCTGCAGCCTGTAATCGTTACGGTCCCCACCCCTCGCTTTCCGTTTTAATTCTTAGGGAGTTCTGCCCATTGTGACTGCTAGTCGGGGCCGGGCTGTGCGCGGCGGGGTTCCTCCGGTGGCGGGGCTGCCCGGGGCGCTGCGGGCGGTGCGGGTGAGCGCGGTGTCTGCAAACGAGGAGCCGCGTGCGCTGCGTGTCTGATCCGCGGCGCGCTGCTGGGATGCCACCAGCACAGGTGGTGCGGAGCTGAACTCGCGGAGGCGGCTCCGAACTCTGCTAAAGGAGGTACAAGAGCTGGCAAGAGCAGTACAGAAATGAATAAAAAATCTGCTGTCCTTCTAGGAACAGTCGAATGTTTGCTGTTTACTTGGTGAGGCACTCGTGTGAAGAGCAGAACTAAGCCTGCTGTTTTGTTTGTTGTGACAAAAGTTTGCTAAATATTTGAATCCCGTCTGTTTTATGTACTCCTGTGTTTGAAAGGGGCTCAGAGAAGCCACCAGCTGTGCGTGGAAGAGCCATGTAGCCATAACTGCAGAGCAGCCCCGACGTGTGGCTTAAGTCATGCTTCCACACATAGATAACCATCATGATCCCTGCTACCTCATCCTGTGAAAGTCAGAGGCAAACAAGTGGTGTGTGATTGGTACAACACCTGTGCAGATCTGGGAGCAATCAAACAAGGTGAAACGAGAAACAGATGCGATGTTCTACATGTTAGGAAATGCTTCGTGTTTTGAATGCCCAGTAAAATAACGCAGAGAGAAATTCCAAGTCATAAAGGGCCACATCCAGTCTGTACACAAAGTAGCGAAGGTCTGCTGAAGTTGTTGTTAGCTATGTAAGCAGTTTATTCATGTTCTGCCATTCGGAGGTGTTGATCTGGTGTGCTGTAATGAGCTCCTTTCTGTTTTCACACGTGCTACAAAGTTGGTTCTTAAGATTCTTTGTGGCCTCAGACTGGAGGGTGTAATTCCTGTCCATTCCATTCACGTTGATTCAGTGTGATGTGTAGTAACTGATACAAGTGTGTTATTCACACTAGGGTTCTGACCAGTTACTACAGAAAAAAGAAAGTGAAGTCAAACTTTTAAGTTTGAGAAACATGAACAGAATACACTACAGAATAAGAAGTTTCTGAAAAGTACCTATTGGAAGTTGTAGAACAAGGTCATGAAAGAGCGGATGAGACAACTGGAGGTTTGAGATATTTCTAAGATGTGGAAAAGAAATTCTCTATATTAAGATTATGCAAAGTAATGCTGTGAAATAATTTGACTACAGCTTGTAAGTCTCTATAGAAGAAAGTATTTCTTGTGTTAAGGAACTGCTGTCTTTAAGAGAAATAACATTATTGGGATTCAGTGACTAAAACCATCACCAAAGTCTAGAATTGAAGCAATGTGTTCATGAGGGACAGTGGTAGTGATACAATGGCTGGGAATGTCTAGCCTGAGATAGCAGCTCTTTTGGAGAAGAGCAGCTGGAATTTAGCAGTGGTTCTTGGATTTGAAATAAAAATTAGTTAAAGGGAAAGCTGAGTTATAAAGGAGGCAAAAAGTAATGAATCTATGTCCATGATTTGCATAGGGCTTTTTCACTGAAGATTGTTAAAGGTGATTTGTTTTATTCAGCTGGACTTACTTGCAAGTTTACAGTTGTTGTTCTTTGTTGGTTGAAAAGAAGATAATCTTACAGACAATAGGTTGGAACAAGGACTGTTGTTCAGTTCTCTGTTGTATGGCACAGCACCAGCTACAACATGGATACTGGTTTATGATTGTGAGCCCTAAATTTTATAAATGACAATAATAATACTATTAACAGTAACTCGCTTTTTGTTTGGTATATTTGAAAATTTGGGTGACTCACATTGGAGTGAATCCCATGGCTCTGGCACAGACGGACGTGCTGCCTCACCTGCCAGCTGTGCAGCCACTCCTGGTCTCGTTCCAGCACTCCCTATCGAATGGTGCCCGTACCTTTAGTCTGATTAATTTTTAAATAACGCTTTTCATCGTGGCTTTGGTAAAGAAGGTTATTAGTGTGCCAGCACAAAATCCATGCTTTCTCTTAGGTTAATTTGGTCCCTTCTCAAGCTGCCTTTAATCGCCTTTAGCAGGGAGCTGCCACACGTGTGCTGGGGGACCTGCATGGCTGAGCGCATGCTGCAGGAGAGCAGTGCCGCTTACTCTGCATTCTGCTCTGTTTGTCTTGGCAGACCTATGCGTGTGTCTGCTCGTGGGTGGGGTTTCCACAGTGGAGGTTCTGCCAGAGATTGGTCATATTTCACTCTCTCATTTTTGAGCAAAACTTCCATCTAGTGAACTGAGATTTGTGTTTAAGAGTTGAGGGTGAAGTGGTGACAGTGGCACTGGGAGCTCTATAATATACACCTCTCGTCCCCCAACCCCCCTGCCTTGTTCTCAAGTTAAGGAATTTTTATCATACTCGAAGCATGGGAAGTAATTTGTGGATACATCACTGTGGGATGAACACCTTTCCCTCAGTGGTCTGGTACGCTCTGTTGTGCTGACGTCTTCGTACAAAACATAATGAATGTCACTGATTTTAAACTAGGCCATCCACAATACTCTCTTCTTAACTGCCTGGTTATTCATAAATAATCCACACGTTCCAGTGCTGTATCTGCTTGCCATTGGTTGTTGAAAATGGGTACGCTATCTGAGCTGGGAGCACTGAACTCAATGCTGTGCTCTGTTCCCCAGGAGTACCTTTCCTTTAGGCTCCCCCCCCAGCTCTCAGATTTACAGGCTGTTGGATACAGAGCCCCAGGTAGCGCTGGCCTCTGTGACAGCTGAAGTCTCATGGAGCCCAGTAGAACTTTGGAGCAGGGCAGCACTGCAGGCTTGTGTCTTATGCAGGGAGGTGGGCTCTGCAGGGCAGTTTACAGACTGTCATATTCCACCCACAGTAGTCTGAGGCATAACTCCATAGGTTAAATATGTTATCAACTCTGAGATACTTTTTATTCTACACTGTTATCAGTAATTAATACTTAATAATGTAGTACAACATTTTAAATGGAACGGCGCATTAGATTTTAGATGATTTTTTTAATTGCTGTACCACTTTATGAGTAACTAAAGAAGCTGAAAATACTGGAATGTTTCATTTTCAATTTTCATATTCAATTTTTTTCTTTTTTAAAGGTACAGGGAAAGTGGAAAATCAGTGAGTGTAAAGCAAAGCTACCATTTCAAAACATTTATTTTTGGGGTAATGCTTTTATTCTATTAGTATGCACAAGTGCTGCATAACTGGAATCTAATAATAGTATGTTTTCTTAAACAGATGACTCTCCAGTTGCATTGACCTTGCCTTGTATAGTGGGACCTTGCTGCCTGTAGTTTCAGACAATGCTCTGATGTGAGACCTCTCCTCCCACAGTATTTTTCTGCATCTGTGCTACAGCACAGGCAAGAATGCTGCCGCAGTGATCTCTGGCATTTGGGGTTTTCGTTACACTGCATCTTCTTTCTAACACTTTCATAATGCATTCCTTTATTCCAAATACAAAGCTCTGTTGCTTGGAGTAGGTGACTTTCTTTTTGTAGCAGTGTGGGTATCTTTCAGCAGTATTAATTGAGCTTGGTTTCCCTTTGGAATGCAGCAAGATTAATAGGGGTCGTGCAGCTGAGGAGCTGCTGCTTTGTCCAATACCAACAATTCATGTTAAAGAACAACCTGTAGGTTTCCTCTTGCAGAACTTCCTTGTTGTGAATGCCTCCTTTTAAGTTCCCTCAGGATTGTTGTGGTTGTTTTGGATTACAACTACTTGCCAAATTGAAGGGGAAAAAGAAAACCCTGTGTTAATATCCAGGCTGAATTGCCTTCTGAAGATGATGTTCTGTTTTTGTTCTCATTTCATGTAGCATTTGTACTTGTCAAAAATGTATTTCTAACCAGTTAGTTCTTCAATTCATGCATAAATGTATATTATAGTTGTTATTTTAGTGTATTTATAATCCCGTTATTTTGTCAGAGGGCAGAGATTTCTAAGAACTAGATGGTGTCTTTACAAGCTTTTAGTAACTGAATTTCACGCTTCTGATGATTTTCAAGTATGTTCGATCTTCTGTGAAAATCTATGTTGTTCCTTCTGAAAGCTGTGGGAAACTATACTGCAGTGCTCCTCGTGCATAGTGCAGATCTCTGCTCACCCTCAGTGTGCCTGCGTTATTGCAGCAGGCTGGTGGGCCAAACATGTCTCCCTGTTCTCTTCTATAACTCGTGGCCACTCATGAGCTATGCTGTGGGCTGCTTTTCTGTAAGCATCTGGAGTGGCAGAGATGTTAAGAGTGCCAGGCAGATAATGCTTCTTGAACTCTTTCATATTGTGGTACTTTGCATTTTTTTGGATGGAAAATACTTCTTAGTGAGGCTCCTTCAGAGCCCTTGAAATTTTTCACTGCAGCTGATACTTTTGTGAATGGTCTGTTGTTTGCATGTTTTCCCCAGAGAACAAAGTGGGCATACAAGAAGCAGAGAACCTTACATAATTACCTTTGCTTTGTTCCAATTGCACCATTTCTTTTTTACTTCTTAATAATGAATTTATGGAAGAGGCAGCAGAAATAGGTACTGTAAAATCAAACATACAGCTGCTTGTAGTGGAAATATTTTAATCTGGACACCCACTTAAGATGTTGCTACTATAACTGATTTGAATATACATCTGTTCTTAGTCTGTGCTTTAATTCAGCGAAACATAAACAAGAAGTCCCTCTTTGGTGGTGATGTTCTCTCAGAAGACACAGAATTTAAGTACAGAGAAACATATTAAAAAAATGACATGAACACATGTCATTAACTAAAACCTCCAGGCTGTCCTGTTCAGAGATATTTCCAGCATCAGTAGCTGAGTAATTTAAATACATAAAATAAATTGTAAGGCTTTTTCTTTACTTACTTCATTTTCATAGGATGAATTTGGCAAGTAGCTATCGCTGTGTTGTCATTGGTTGTTGTATAACAATTCTGCAACTATCATCCAAATTAAACATACTAATCTTTTGAATGGTCTTGTTGTCTACCGGTGTGTAATGTGTAGACTCAGTGGTTGAGTTCCAAAACTGTGTATTTGATTTTGTTTTCCTTTTGTTTGTTTTCAAAACAATCTGTTCTCCTTGTGAGATATGGAGGGCCCTTCTAAAAAGTGCTGTTTAGTGCTCCCTGCTCACCAGTAATGCCTCCGGTTTCAGATTTCGCTTCTGTTCTGCATGCTTTCCAATTTCACCTTTGTCTCCATGATCCCAAGTCATGTG